TCCATCCTGATGCTGCCAATTGGTCCAGTGGTGAGAATCTTTGTCTTGCTGACACTGAGCCTCAGTCCATATTGGAGGCTGCAGTTCTTGACCCTCTGCAGCAGGTGCTTCAAGTCCTCCTCAGTTTCAGCAAGCAGGGTTGTGTCATCTTTTTCTATAAAATGCTGGTCTGATACTTCTCTAAATCTGAACATTCAGATTAAGACAGACTAGGAAGAAGGATTGGTCATCCACTTCTGAAATAGCAGGCTTCTGAAAACCCTATGTATGTAAACCACTTCCTCTAGCATCTGAGAACAGATCTTGTCCTTGACAATAGGCATGAAGTATTTAAGAGCGAGCCCCTATTGTTTTTAGATGTTGTCAAGTACCACTTATGGCGGCCCTATGACCTAAACTCTGCCCTATCCTGTGCCATCCTCATAATCTGACACATTAGACTCCACTGCTGAAGTCACTGGCAACCCATCTCGTTGGGGGGCTTCCTCTCCTTTGCTGACCCTCTATCTTGCCGAGCACAATGTCTTTTTCTAATGGATAGCCTCACCTAGCTACATGTCCCACGTATGAAAAGATGAAGCTTTGCCATGCTTACATCAAATTTTCCAAGGTATGTCTGTTTGTTCCAAGATACATACTTTTCTCAAGATATAGCTGCTTGTTCTTTTGGCAGTCCATAAAATATTCAGTACTCTTCTCCAACACCACACTCAAAGCATCAATTTTTCTTCTGTCATCCTTATTCACTGCCCAGCTCTCTGATGTGTAGCACGTGACTGAAAAAGCTATGGCTTGAATAAGGCACACCTTAGTCTTCAAACTGACCTCATTGCTCTTCAGTGTTTTGGAGAGGTCTCTGACAACAGACTTGCCCAATGCACTATGTCTCTTGATTTCCTGTTTGCTGGTACCAAGGGTGATGACTGTTGCTTTAGGCAAGATGAAATCACTGACAGCTTCAATCCTTTCTCCAACTATCATAATGCTGACCATTGGTCCTGTGTAGAGGCTCTTTGTTTTCTTGATGTTGAGACAAAATGAATCAGGGTAAAATCTCGCTCAGGGATGAGTGATATGGAATGGCAAAGGACACACTGACAAAGGATATTAATCAGAACTGGTTTTGACAAACACTGTGGCAATGGGACAATTAAAACAGACTTTCAAGGAATATTCAACCTGAATCCTTCTGATCATATGGAGATTT